TGAAGATGACAAACTGGTAGAAGATGACAAACTGGTAGAAGATGACAAACTGGCAAGAGATGACAAACTGGTAGAAGATGACAAAGATGGCGATAGTTCTAAAGCCCTTTCAATTGGCATTTCGACTGATTTCGACCAGAACTTTGAAAGTGGTGTTAGAGCCGTTGGAGATCGTGTAAAAAGACCAGATGATGATGATGAAGTAAAAATTGTTGATGATGGTGATAAAATGAGTGAACGTGACGAGAGAGTCGGTGATGGTGGAACGAAGGAAGATGAGGACGCTGAGAAAATGAAAGACGTTGACGGTGACAGATTTAAATCGTACACTTATGATAAAGAAATAACAAAAATATTGGACGATGTTGATGATAGAGATGACGATGTTGAGGGTAAAGTTGTCATTACAGATAGAGATGATCATTTAAAACCTGATGAAAAATCGATTGGAACTGATGATGACAGTTTCAAAACAGAAATCGTTAAAGATATTACGGATGAAGTTATCTTTGTTGATCGAACACCACGAGATGATGACGTGAGTAAGGAATCACGCGATCTTGTTCAAATTGTGGTCGGAGAAACTGGAGAAAAGATGGACGGGAAGCTGCCTCCATCACTTCCTATGTCGTCTGATGCGACAACCACAACAACTACTACAACATTATCAACGGTAACAACACCGGTATCGACGCCAACAACAACACCAACAGCAAAGCCATCAACAGAAACAACAACACCAGAACAAGATCGTGAAGAACAGCAACCGGAAATAAATGATGAAGATGAATTTCCACCGAGACCAACAACATCTGCCGAGAAGGATGTTGACTCGCAACAGCATCCACCATCGCCAACAGCTACAACATCGTCAACGAAAGATATGGAGTATGAAGATGCAACTTTAGAGACAAAACAAGAGGATGACTCACGACAACATCCAAAACAACCAACAACTCCAACATCTGATGAAGATAATTATGAAGAACAATTGCCACCGACAGGAATTGAACATCAGGACGACAAACAGCGACCACAGCCACCTGTGCAACCACTCCCGACAACCACAAAAGAAGACGACACAACACAAAAACAACAACCTCCGTTGTCTCCAACAGCTGAACAGCTCATTAAAGATTCAACAGACGACGCGAAAGACGTTATTCCTGATGATAAATCAACAGTAGCCGTACCTTCAATACCAGATGTACCACCAACAGCTTCATCAGACGAAACAACTACGAAAACTTCAACGACAGTTATATCAACTACAGATACCTTGACAACAATATTAACGACGCCGTCAACAACATCAACAACTCTACCAACATCATCGACAACATCACCTACGACCTCCATTTCAGTGAAACCTCCGACGACTACAACAACAACAGTTACAGATAAACAACAACCTCAACAACCGCCAGCCACAAAACCAACCGATTCAATTGATAAACTTTCAACTGCAAAAGCGATCGGTCTTGGATTGATGGCTGTAGTTGGAGCACCTGTAGTAGCTGGCATGGCGATTGCCGAAGCCCTCAAAAGCACTCCCGACAAACATCCAGAGCAATTCAGTAATGAACACCCCCATGACGATTGGTTCTATCATGGCTCACATGATCAACAGATGCCGAGAGAGGCGAGGAAAAAAGTCGAAGATGATGGTTTCAAAATGAAGAAAGATAAAGATGATCATGGTGGTGGCGATGCGGGTCTTGCTGTTTCTGGTGAAAAGTTGGCTCAGGATGATGAAAAATTTGAAAAGAAAGACGGCGATAATGGTGGATATAAGAAAGATAATGATGAGGATGATGAGGATGTGAATAGACAGAAGAGGTGGTTGGAGGATGAAGAAAGAACAAGAGCAGGAATAATCGCCAGTAAATCAGATCAAGGAGTCACCGATAGTGGCGATGGTTTCAGTGCTTTCAATGAGGATGCTCAGAAAGTTACTAAGAAAGAAGAACCTGGCATGAAAGATGATGACGGCAAAGAGGAAGAGAAAGTAGACAAGCGTGAAGATATACCGTGGGTAAAGAACATCTCGTTGACTCGCATTTTGCAATCTAAATGGTACGAACCAGCCGACAACAAATTCATACACCCTGCTACTAAGCAACTGGTTGATCTGAAAACATGCATGGATGATAATCTGTTGGACGTTGATGAAAAAATAGTGGCGGATTTAGATTCGGGAGAAGTTATTGGGTTAAAGGAAGCCGTTCAAAGGTCACTCATTGACCCATCCGCTAACCTTTATCACGTAGATGACCACACTTCACTCACACTTGGCAAGGCTCTGGACAGCGGACTGATCATGGATGATACATTACCTGACATGACCGCAGATAACAGTGCAAGCGTCGTCGGCGCGCCAGTTGATGTCATCACACGTGCCCCGCAAACCTACACGCTCATTGAAGCCGTTCAAAATGGTTTGTACGACCCGAAAAATAACACGGTACTTGATCCAGTTGCGAATCGAACCTACAGTTTGGTCGAGGCCCTGGACAGAGGTCTCATTCTGACAAGGACTACCGTGTTTCGCGATCCTGAAACAGGAAAGAGATCAACGTTTGATCAGCAGGTGCGTCGTGGTTGCGTCAGTTTGAAATCAGGTGATATTGCATTAGAAGGTGGAGGTTTTATATCAATATATGATGCTGTTGGAAATGGCTGTTTGACTGACGAAGGTGAGGTTGGTGATGGTTTGTTGGAACGTCCGTTGAGTCTTATGAAAATCTTGGAAATGAGATTGTACGATCCCACTACTGGCCACTTCATTGATCCAGAAACCGAAGAAAGATTAACTCTGACTGAGGCACTCGATGAAAATCTCCTGGATCCTCTTTCTGCCGTTTTGAACGATCCGGCTTCCGAGAAAGTTTACAGTATGGAGGAAGCTTTGATGAGAGGATTGGTGTCGGATCGAACGGGTGCAGTTTACGATACACAAGCTCGTCGTAAGGTGTCGCTTGTGGAAGCTACACGCCGTGGAATCGTCATACCGCTACCCATGACTCTCAACACGGCTGTAGATATTGGGCTATTTAATGAGGAAACAGGGAAGTTCTATGATCCAACTTGTGGAATGTTCTTCGCCCTTCAAGAAGCCATCGACAACGGTTTGATTGATTCGAGGTCACTAATTGTTGACCCAGCGACAGGTAAAGTCATGGCCGTCGCCACAGCAACAGCTTGCGGAGTTCTGGATGCTAGGAACGGGAACGTAATTAACATTCACACCGGGCAGGTGATGTCGTTGAAAGATGCGATCGTCATGACATCCTCCGCTAAGCAACGTCCAAGCGATGACAAAAATCGTTTGTCCATCATTCAGGAAGAAGAAAATGGAACATCTTCCTCGTCATCGTCTTCAGGTAGCAAGCAGAAATCAGATGAAAAATTATCAGTTGAACATTTAGATGACGTCATCCAGGAAGTAGACGAGGTTGCCGAGGATGGCGGTGGCGATGAGACGGGTCGTAAAGAGTCAGCATCATCTTCATCATCGTCACTTCCGGCTGTTGAAAGGGAAACTGATAAAGAGCTGGAGGGATTTGCTACCGAGTACGCCAAGTTGCTCGTGGAAACGACCTTGGAAAAAGTTAGAAAATCAGATGCATTTGGTGGTGACCTCGATGTGACGTCGTTGGAAGAAGATGCGATGAGAGATGATGATGAGAAGGATGGTGAAAAAGTTGAGGGTAGCGTTAAGAAACCACCTCCACAAACACTGGAAGATAGCATTGTTGATGAATTGAAAGATCATCGTGATTGGTTGATTGAGGGCGAATCTGATGTTTGCAATCATCTTGTTGACTACGATGGCATGGAGACGAGGAAAAAAGTAGATGACAACTACCAACCAGTGAAGAGGCTGTTTGATCTGTTTGAATCCAGGGTGCCCTCGATTGATCACACGCTGATGAAAGCATCTCTAGCATGTGATGCTACTGCTAACAACAACACCAAACAACAATTAAATAATCTCTCTGATGAAGTTCTCATGTTGATGGATGCGGTTAGTTGTAGTAATTGTGGTGATAGTTTTTGTTGTTTCTGCTGCTGTTGCTGTTGTTGTTTATTTTTTCCTTCTAGTGTTGTTTCGAATTATTTTTCAAGTTTTTTGTTTCTTCTCTTTATTTTTCATTTTTCATATATTTAACGATTTTTAATTCACTTTCAAAAATTAGGTTGGAGAAGAAAGTAGGTCAAGACATAACCTACTTTTCAATCTTCAAGATGAATTGGCCTTCTACAATCGAGCATTGGACGACCTTGATGTAATTGTTTCAAGGGCGGAAGATGATTTGAGGTCAGTTCAAAAATGTCTGGGCGACCCTGATAAAATAACAAAACAGTTGGACATATGCCAGAACATACTGTCTTCCGTGCAAGGGTGGAGTGATGATGTACCCAAGATTTCAAATAGTGCCCAAAACATCATCACATCTATCCAGAAGTTTGAAGACAGACTGGAAATGTACAAGCCTACTAAGTCATCAAAACTGCCAGCCAATCAGCTGCGTAGAACAAACCACCAGGATTTAACTGACCAATTGAAATGTCTTGTTGAGAGATCTACCAACCTATCGAACGACACGAACCATTTGATTGACAAGTTGGAAAATTTGAATGATTTGGAACGTACGTTCTCTGGCCAAGAAGTTAAAATAAATGAATGGCTGACTGTTGTGGAAAATATTTTAGATGGATTGAAGAAAAAGTGTAAAGAAAGAATGAATGAGGAACACGATGATAAAGAGCTTCAAGCAGATGCTGACTCTTTCTCTAAAAATGTACTGAATGAAGGATGGAAACAGATGGATGAGTTGAACGCCCTGTCGAGGTCCTACATCGATTGCCTCAAGGACATCGGAGCTGATGACGTCATTGTGGATCCAATAAAGTCACGGTTGAATAGATTTTCAGAAAGATTGGACAATCTCGTGAAAGAGGCGTCCATCCTGAACAGCAGTCTATTAGCCAATAGAATGACCAGTCTAGGTTTCGAAGAAGGTCTCAATGAAACGAACCAATGGCTAGATGGCGTTGAGTCTCAGCTCAAAGATTTTGACCTATTAGATTTGAGCGAGGAAAATATTCAAGATGTGATTTGCAGATTAAGAGAAATCATCAACCAATTAGACAACAGAGTTGGCGTTTTAAAGGATCTACAAGCTGATGGCGTAGAATTGAAAGAGAAACAGGTTTGCACACTTGCGAGATTATCAGATCTCCATGCCAACTTCTCAGAACGTTTCAGTGAAACCAAAGATATTGAATCTAAAGTCATCGAATTCAACACAACTCTGAAGAAGCTTAATGATTGGCTGGTGCATGGACTGGTGACCTTAAACTCTGTTGACGTCAATCACATGCCACTGAAACAATTTTCTGACAAGATAGAGAGTATAAGCGGCGAATCGCAAGAAATGTACCCTGACATGGTTCAGTGCAAACTCTTGAAGAGGCAGTTAGTTGAACCTTCACAATCATTACCACAACAACTACAACAACTCGAACCAATAAAAATAATCAACCATCAACTACTACTTGACGAACCATTGGTCAAGTGCCACAAAATGTGGGCGGATTTGAAAGAGCTGCTCGGCCTGCGATTGGTGGATATCGAAAATCGAAGGAGCAAGGAAGATGAATTGAAAGCAAAAATCCTTGAAGTTTCCGGCTGGTTGTCGAAGATGGATGAGCGTATGAAAGCGATGGAGCCTGTGGCCTTGGATGCTGACGTCATCAAGGAACAAATGAAAGAACTGGAGCCTCTGTTGGAGATGCTGGACAGACAGAGAGCCATGATGGTTGATGTCAACAAATTGCATTCAGCCTGCCACCCGCCGTCTAAAATACAACCACCTAAATCGACGACCAAAATAGATCAAGTTATGAATATTAATGAGGACATGACGCAGGCGGGACTAATATCCAGTGGTTCGAGTGGGGTCAGTAGTCGCCCTAACTCCATGGACAATTTGGTTCACGTTGAAAGTTAGTAAGAGAGTGTATACGTGCGCTTTCTAGTTTTGCGCTATTCCTACTTAAATGTTATCTCGTTTAATTGTAATTTTGTTCCTTAGAGTGAATTTTAATTTTTGGTAATTTTAAAATTTTGTATAATTAAATATTGCAATCATTCACGCCAAGATCTTTCGGATAGCCATCAGCAAATGATGACCATCAACTCAAAACACGATCACCTATCAGAACAGCTGATGGACAGACAACTTGACCTACAAACTACGTTAGCCGACTTAACCCAGTTATTAGAAAATTTCAAAGAGATTGATGATTGGCTGGACGACTTGTCCCGTGACGTTGATGACGTCGCTAAGTTGCAGGAAAATGACGTCACTGATGATAAAGATCGTGAAATATCTTCGAAATTAGAGGTATGCTTAATGTTTTAAATTAATGTACATAATGTATTAGTTATGTTTTAATTTGAACAGTGCATTGTTTCAATGGGCGATTAATTGAAAATTTTTTATCAAATAGAAACTAAAACACACTCTTGACGCAAAAGAGCAAGAAGTAGGTCAACTGAGGTCAAGGTCGGAAAATATTTTGTTAAAGGACAAACAGGCTGTGCCCGGTTACGATGACGTCGTTACACGTTTCGTTCTGATTGGTTAGTTTCTTGGCTATTTCGATTCTTTTCATTAGTTTTTCATGTTGATGATACTAATATTCATATTGTGAGACGAATTTAATGCTTGTGAGTATATTTTTTCTTTTTCAGAAAATAAACTGAAAGAATTGAAAACTCTCGTTTCGTCATCATTACCCCCGCCATCGCCAACGTTGTTACCATCTTCAGCGTCGTCCTCCTCATCAAACCTGCCCAGCAACATAACATCGCTGGATGATTTCATGAGGTTCAACGAGAAGATAGCGAAATGGTTGGATGGAAAATTCAAGATGGCATCTCTTCTGCACCCTGTTACGTCCGACGCGGATGTCCTTAAGACACAGTTGCAACAAACCAAGGTAGCAGTTGTTGAGTGTGTGATTCAATCACGAATCAACTTACTGTTTTATGTTGTTGTCTGCTATGCTCCATGAGACTGTTTCAGTTGTAATGTTGATAGTGTTGTTTCAATGCGGCCATGCTAGGAGGTGATGGGTTTGGTGTTTGAATTTGGAGTTGTTTGTATGAACTATTTTTATAAAATGGGTTTTTAAATAATTTCGCAGCTTTTGCAAGAAGAATGGAAAAATAATCAGCCAAATCTAAAAGAATTCATCGACAGCGCCGACCAATTAGCTTTCGATCTCGAACTAGATCCAGCCAATTACAGAACTGCGAATAAAATTAGAATGTTATTGGACGAGACGAAGAGGATGAAAAATGAACTCTCGCCTTCATTGGTCGAGTTGGAAACCAAGTTACTAAATGTTATCGACCTGAAAGATAATTGGACCAATTTGTACAATGATACAGATATTAAGTTGAAGGCGATAAGTGCTCGAGTCCAAGATCAACCAGACGTCAATTCTGATTGGCTGGATGGCGAAGAAACTCTCCAAGTGATAAATATGATGTTTTGAATAATAAATTACTTTTAATTTGTTTTTTTTTACTTCGGTTAATTAATTATTATATAATTGTTTTTGGCTTGTTCAAGTAAGTAATAAAAATTCTGGTTTGAAGGGATTGCTTCAAGAATTGAAAAACATCCAGCCAAACATAGACAAGCTTGGTCGCATAAATGACATGATTGACAACTCTTTGAACCAATCACAAGATTCCAAATCGGAATCAACCCCGCCAACGTCACTCGATGACAACCGATCAAAATGGGATGGTTTAGTCGAAAGGTTCAAAAAGCTGGAAGAAAATTTGGGTTAGTCGTCATATTTAATAAAAAACTTACCGTTAAATATTCAAATGAAACGAAGTGGAATTTGAACAACAGAGAACCAGCTGTTGGAGATGGAAGAGAGAAGGAGTGGATCTGACGGATTGAAGTCTTTCATCCGCCAGTACAAGGATTACGTTGAGAACAGCGAGAAGGACGTGAATGAAAACATCCTCTCCTCAGTTTCCTGCCGCAGAGATCTGCTCAGCCAACAAATACAATCCTGCCAGGTAATCCAACCTTTTATACTAGATATAACTGCAATTTTATTATTTTTATTATTTTTATTTTTCTCGTTAAATTTATAGCAGCTATATTTAACTTGACAACTTTTTAACTGTAACAATTCATACACGCATGTTCGTACGTTTAGAACAAGCTGGATGATGTGAGCAGGAAGGAATCTCAGTTCGACCTTGGCACGGAAAAGTTCAGTCAGCTGATCGATTCAAACCCACAAAGTTATGAACGAGAGAAAGAAACTCTGGATGAATGTTCTAGAAAATTTCAAACCTTAAAATCTCTACTCGGGACTGAAGCGAAACGTTTGACGGCAGCCAGTAATGCATGCAACGCGTACAACTCGGAACTCTCTCGTCTAAAAGCTAAATTAGGAATCCTGACAGACAAATCCACCTGGTTGGACGACTCCGGAGAAACCGATCCAGAGCACGTTAACAAGAAGAAGGAAGATTACGAAAATTTGTTGGTGGAACTGGAGTACCTGGAAGCTGAAGATGTTGGCGGTTTGCTGCAGAAACTTGAGGCGTTGAAGGATTGCTGTGATGTCGATCAGAAATATGTTGAGGATGAAGTTGAAAATGTTGCTGCCGATGTTGGAAGTTTTAAAAAATGTTAGTCATCCTATCACTATCTTACTAGACATATCTTTCGTTTTGATTTAATCGCTTGCAAGCATTATAATATTTTATTATTGCTCAATGAAATGTCTTGAAACTGCAGTATTCGAACGTGAAAGAGAGAGGTTGGAGTTGAAGTTAGAGGCCCACGAACTCTTGAACGATCAACTTTCGGAAATTCAGTCAAACTTGACAGACGTCATGAAGGTCATCCATCCTTCCTCAAGGTCAAACATCTTATCGGACGATCCTTTCAAAAAACTCGAACAACTCGTGGTTAGCAACTGCTTTCTTTGCTAACAATGACCGTATGCGTGTGATGATATTCATGCTGAGTGATTAATAATTCACACAAACCCACACACAACTCGCACATCTCACAGGCCCTTCAAAAAGATTTAAATTTAGTTGAAGGACAGCTGAAGGATGCACAGATGACATTGACAGATCTGTGTAACGACGCTATTGGTCACACATCCCTAGATGAGGCCGAGTCAATTTCCCAAGCAACCAATAAACACAAGGAGCTATCGGACGAGATAGCCAATGAAATTGCTCGATTGAAATCTTTATCTTCTAGCTTGCAATCTTTACAGGTAGTCTGTTAAATAATTATTCACCTACAACAATTGCTGTTACCAATTTCATCGATTGTTTTTTTTTGTCAAATCAGAGCGAAACAGACCAATTGCAATCAGACATTTCAAAAATTCGTAATGACATCACGAATCTTTCAACCAATAAGCAACTGATCCTCGACCAGCTCATTCCATCCTTGAAAATGAAAGTTAAACAGCTGGAAGACTATCAGAATAAACTTTTCGAAGATTCTCAATCCAAAACCTGGGAAAGTGATAGATTATCTGAGAGCTTACAAAACTCGGCCAAGGATCTTGATAATTTAGAATCTTTGGTTAAAAACAAAATGGCCGCCAGTAGGAGAGCCTCACAAGATTTGGACGAGTTTTTGAATGACATGAAGAAAATGATGGATGTCTTGGAGCTTGAAGAAGGAAGAAGCACGTGTCGATCTGATGTGAGGATGATGATGACGATGATGGTGGTGGTGGTGATTGTGATGATGGTTATAAGTGTCGGTGGTGGCGAGGATGATGATCGTAGTGATAATAATAATAATAATAATTTCATTTTATTGCTTTTATCATTGTTTTTGGCTGTTGCAAGTTAACTGAATGGTTGTACTGACACTGAACTGCACACCTCACAGAACATAGACAACTTGCTGGATGAAGTTGAAAAGTTGAAAGGTCGTGGAAGGCAACTTTTGAGAGATGGTCACACATCAACTGATGTCATCAACCAATCGACCAATGAGCTTGAAGCTAAGTGGAACAAATTGTTGAGAAAATTAACTGAACAGCAAAAGATTAATGATGATTGGTTGTTGAAACAAGGTCAAACGAGTGAAGCTGCCCATTCCATGTTAGCCTGGCTTCAAAAGGTCAAGTTGATGAATGAAAATCAGATGCCCTATCAGGTTGATAATGCAGGGGTCAGCAAACAGATGGAAGCTCAAAAGGTGCATGGTTGTATGATAGATACCAAATAATAAATTTGATGAGTGATTCAAAGAAATTGTTTTAAACCGTTTAAAGATTATGATGAGTTGATGAATAATTGAATGGAATAAATTAACAAACGAATGAATTATTTTCGAAGGGCTTGGATTCCATGTTGGTTTCTCAGCAGCCGATATTCAACTCGCTCATCTTCCAACAGCAACACCAGCTGCAACCACAACTCGACACGTCGACCGCAGCTTCCATTGACAGACTGAAGCATTCCTGGCTGGAGGTGTCCGAACTTTCTAGAAAGAATAACACAACTCTGGTTCAACTGATGGAGATGACATCTGCACTGGAGGAGGAAATGTCAAGGTTGGAGAAGTTTCTGGATGAGTTGGATAACAAGTTGCTGAAGTTCACCTCTAAAGATGCCATCCTCAACAGTCAAGGTGTTTCGCATCTGCTTCAAGAAATTGTGGTGCGTTTGGTTTTCAATTCTTTGTTTTGCTTTTACATTTGTTAATTAAGTGATTTTATTATTTTAGAAATCTCTGGATGAGATATCCAATTGCATGCCGACTAAAGAGCACGTGATCAGTCTGACCAATGATGTTGTAAAGTTAGCAGGCAAGTCCTGCCAATCAGATGCTTTGTTGGAAGAAGCCGTCACCATGGATACGAGGCTTTCCATCTTGGCTCGATCGCTGGGTCAAAGGTCAGAAGAGTTGAAGGAGGTGGCAAACATGTTGGATCGCTTCCACGACCACCACAGCAAAGTGGTGACAGCATTGGGCAGGATGGAAGAGAACTTTGTAACAACAAAGAAAGATGCTGAATCGCTAGCTGTTAGTTTTTTTTTCTGTTTGTAATTTTCTAAAGTTAACCCATTAAATCTGTATACATGTATTGGTGATTTAACTCACTTATTTTGCAGGTATTACGTAAAGAATTGGAGTCCTGTCAGCAACTGACCAGCCAGCTGACGAACGAAGGTCATTCATTGGCTGACCTCATTAACGGGAAAGTTGCCCTGGAAATAAGAGAAGCTGTCAATAGAAATTCTTGCACTTTTGATTCTCTGAGTCGAAAGATCCAATCGGAAATGGATAAGAGTAAAATGGCGCAAGAAAAATCGAACGAACTCGTCAACGAGTTGAAAGAATTGGAAGCTGAACTGGTGAATCTTCAGGAGAGATCTGGCAAGTTTGGTGAGGGGGCATCCATTGAGGAACAGCAGAAAAGCTTGGATGAGAAGAAGAGAACAGCTGAGGAGATGGAAAATGTCAGAAGGAGGGTAAAGGATTTGAACTCGAGGATCAGGTCAATGTCAAGGTCGTCTTCTATCAGTGAAGATCTCTCAAGCAAGGTCTGTCTTGCGGCTATTATTGTTATCATTATTATTATTGTTATTATTATTATTATTTAGATGATACGAACGTTGATTTAGACATGATACCGATGAGTGATAAGAATAACGACAATGCTGGTTGATTATTAAAATAAAAGATGATGATGACGATGTGACGGTGGACAATGGCAATAGTATGATGAATACTACACTGCGTACTACACAGGCCGATGACTTGCACAAGAGAGCGGACGAGAGTAGTCGAAAAATTCTGGACGAGGTGACGAAAGTTGAGAGGAGTCAGGATTTGACGAAGGATTTCGATCGGATCAACACCTCCCTCCTCACCTTCTACGACAACTTCCAGAAGCAACTGCAGGCCGACAACAGGAAGGACTCCAACGAACAGGATTATCAGGTGACTGTCACTATTATTAAGATTTTTTTTTTTTATTTAATTTTTGTTTAAAATTTTTAAATAATTCAATAAATTATCGACGAATAACGAACAACGTACCGCAGAAACTACGCGAGAGTTTACAGCAACAGAGGCCAGTTCTTGATCACCTGACCAGGACGCTGTCAGAACTTTCGAGAATATCTCCCGCCCAGCAGACATCGGCTGACCTCGAAACGAAAATGCGTCAAAACGTCGACCAGTACGTCAAGCTGTCCTCAGATCTTGATGTCCTGTTCAAAAGGATGGACGAGCAGATGGGCAGTAAGCAGCAGGTTTGCTCTGATCTCTCGTTTGCATTTGTTGAACGGCTGTTTCCAGCTACCGGCAAGCCGCATGTATGGTTGAGAGTTGCTCTCAATAGTTCATTTATAGATAGCTGACTGAATGATCTCGACAGTTTATTGATGGATTGATGCATTTCTGACCGAATGAACGTTGAATTCTTCACGCAGCTTGAATATCGCCTCTCGAAACTTTCCCACGACCTGACTTATTTCCTGGAAAGAATCAACCAATGGCAGCCACTTCCGATCGTTGTTGAAGGCTTGCAGGAAGATATGATGGACTGCCAGAGAATGGAGGAGGAGCTAAAAGATATGACGTCATCGTTCGATAGCTGGTCACGTGATTTTACATCCAGTGTGTTCTCATTTAATGATTCGGATTGTTCGGGTGAGATGTTGTTTTGATTTGAGATAATATTGCTGATGATGACGACGATGATGACGACGATGCTGATGGTAGCGGTTGAGATATTCTTCATATGAATATTCATTCACTATTGACAGAACTTGCTCGAATGCACGGCCACATGAACGACCAATTAAAAGAAGCCACATCCGAAGTTCAGAACAGGAAGGAGGAGCTTGCATCCGTCATGGACCATTCACGTTCCTTCTGGGAGAACCAATCAGCATTGAGACAGGAGCTAAGTAATCTTTTATCGACCAATAAAAAGTTGGAGCAACTTTCATTGGACCCGCAGATAATAAACGCAGACATCAGTGATTACAGAACAAAACGTAATCAGCTGAAATCGCTACACTCCAAATTGGATTCAATAAAAAACAATGCGACAACATTGGAAGATAAACTTGGAGGTCCTAGGCTTGAGTTAGAAAGTTGTTTGAGAGGATTGACCGACGCATACGACGAAGCCAAGCTATCCATTGATAGCATATTGAAGAAGCTACAGGAGAACCTCGATAATGCTACAAAGTTTAAGACCGAGTTACAGGTTTGGATTTAATGGTTGTCATTCGTGTGTTGTAGTTGGAGCTAACTTGTGTCTGATTTTTTGGCCGGTGTTAATTTGCCAGGTGTTAATATGGGTGGGGATGAATTGATGAGTGATTGAATAGTTGAATGGATGAATGAATGAACGAGCGAATGAACGAATGAATAAACGAATGACTTAATCATGTCGTATTTTTTTTTACAGAACTTACTAGTTTGGTTACAGAAAGTGGAGGGCGTTGTATCCGGAATGACTTCCACTCCTAAAGATGTGCAGGCCGTTAAGTGGCAGATTGACCTTATCAAGGTCATTTAAATTTATAATATTATTTACGACGCTATTGGTATTTTATTATAATTATAGTTATAATTTATGACTACGATGATGTCACTAACGAGAATGATGAATATTAAGAATTGATTTAATGTAGAACCTCGATGAGGAGATCCAGCCGAAGCAGCGAGTCATGTCTCACCTGAACAACCTGACCAATCAGCTCTCAGCTGCAACTCCTCCGCCCCCTGACCTCGAACTCTTTGTCAAGGTCAACGAAAGATGGATCAGTATATTGAACGTTGTCGAGGAGAAAAAGGTAAAATGTTGTTGTGTGTATTTCGTATTGGACACCGACAATGGCCAACATGATAGTGCAATGATACTGATCTGAAATGACGCTGACGACGATGATGTTTACTTTAAAGGGTACGCTAAAGAAGAGCCTCCTAAACATGGGTGAGATCCAAACATCCATTGATGACGTCACTTCCTGGATCGACGAATCCCTGGAGGCGCTCAGTCAGCCTCTGCCCGTGTTTGACCTTCAGAAGAATATTCAAGGTCAACTGCAAGGTCTCAAGGTCGGTGTGGTCTTTTTTTGGATCTATTTTTTTCGTTTTTTGATTGCTATTTAAATGATTTTTCATAAGACAGAATTATATTATATGAATTGTTCTACTTTACAAAATTCATAACGGCGGTTCAATTGCTTGTAGAAATTGGCCGGCGAACTTGATGGACAAAGGCGACATCTGGATGACATCAGATCGAAAGTTGATGAGAAGAAGCTGGGTGGTCAGGATGTTGAGAATTACTTTCAACAGATCGACAAGTTGAAGAATGATGTTGACGATGTTGAAGCCAAGATCAACAACAAAATCGACAACATTCAAGAAATATTGGATAATGTACGTTTCTTTCACCGTTTTAGTATTATGCAAATTAAGAAACGATGATGATCGGTGGTTTTGTTGTTATTACGTCGTAATAAATAATTTAATCAGGTCAAGAAGTTTCAAGATGACCTAGAAAAGGTCCAATCAGGAGTGAGTAAGTTGGAGCAGAAACTGAACAGCTGCCAACAGGTTGCCCTGCTGCCGCACACAATCGACCACCAGCGACAACAGTTTGCGGTCAGTTGCTGTGGCTGCTGTGGTTGTCTGGTTTAGTGTTTCTTACAGTGTTGTTCATGTTGAAATAAATTTTAATAAATGGCTTATAATTTATTCTCCCTGAAAGATTTTCACTGAAGAGATGAATGAAACCGGAAACTTGTTGGAAAGCGTTCAGACGAGAGGAACCAACTACTGCTCAACATCTTCAATGCACTCAGCAGCAGCAGTAGCAGCAGCTACCTCGCCTCCTAACGCGACGTTGTTGAAGAAGACGCAACAAACATTGAATGATTTGGCCAGCAAGTGGAATGCGTTGAAAAATAAAAGTGAAGAGAGGAAGAACAAATTGCTGGAGGCTTCTCAACAAGTTTGTACTGCTGCTTCTCGTCTCATCAACTATTGATGAATTACTGTTTGATGATTTCAATTCATTTTTTCAAAATGCTTGCAGGTCACTGAATACCATGACTTGCTGAACTCCACGATGGATCTGCTGACGAACTTTGAGCATCAGGTGAGCACGCTGAAGCCGGTCAGTCGACATTTGGATACGGTTCTGCAACAAATCGAGCAACACAAACACTTGCAGCAGGAGTTGAACAAACATCGCAACGTCATTCACGACCTCGAAACTATCCAATCACAACTGAAGAACAGCGGAAGTAGGCAGGATCAAACTCTTCTCAAAAATCTCACGGCTAATCAGAACAGAAGATGGGAAAAGCTAAGAACAAAGTAAGTGTTTCATTGGCTGGAACATTTATTACGATCAATGAGAATGATGTTTGTATCTTGACGTTGACCAATGAAATTACAGATGTTCTGATAGAACGAGGCAATTGGAGAATGGATTGAAGGAAGCGAGAATATTTTATGACGCTTGGAAGGTGAGAAGTTGGAGTTCGTGATGATGTTTACAAGAATGATGATGATGATGACGATAGTGATGTTGATGTTAAATATGAGGATCGAATAATGACGAAATTTTTGTTTTGTTGTGTGCTCATCATGGTATCCTAAAATAAAATAATAACTATCTACTGCATTAACTAGAGCTTACATGATTGGCTGGTTGAGATGGAGACGAACTTATCAAACGAGCCAATCACATCGTCCGACCTGGACACCATCAGACAGGAAGTGAACAAGCACAAAGACTTCCAACGCATCCTGGCATCCAAGCAACACACGCTGGACTCTCTTCTTCGTATGGGCAGGTCAATCAGAGATAAGTCCATCCATCACTCTGAGGTCACTGGGGGAGAGAAATTGAACGAAATGATTGCGAAATTAAAAGGGGCGTGGCTTAACGTCTGCGGGAAAAGCGTTGATAGGCAGAAACAGCTTGAAGATGCTCTCCTATTGGCTGGAAAGTTCAAAGAAGCCATGGATGTCTTACTTGACTGGTTGTACAAAGTTGAACCGAGGTTAGGCGAAATGGAGCCCGTTCATGGCGATGTTGATACTGTTAACAGTCTCACTGAACAACATAAGGTTGGATTGGTTTTGATTGGTTGATTGGTTTTTATAATTTTTTTTGATTGGTTAGTTGTTTTTACATTGGTTGGTTGATTTGTATATATGATTTTCTTTATTTTCCAATCACCTTCAAAACCATACAGATCTTCCAGAAAGAGTTAATGAAGAAGACGTCAACAGTAGCAGCAGTGAGGGAGGCAGCTAAACAGCTGTTGATGACGTCACCGACGGCTGATGATGTTTTCGTCCAATCGAAACTCATTGACATGACAGCTAAGTGGAACGAAGTCTGCAGGCTCAGCGTCTGCAGGCAAGAAAAATTGAAAGGGGCTTTGAAGATGGCAAGCAGAATTATAATATTATTAATGATGATAATTAGTTTTAATAATAATTACTATGATTATTAATTTATTAATAATTTGTCAAACAGGCAGAAGACTTCCACAACAAATCTCGTCAGCTGTTGAGTTGGCTGCTGGAAGCGGAGAAATCATTGCGGCTGCAGTCGCCAACGCCTGCAGCTACGAACGTCGACATGGAAGACCATTTCAACAAACTCCTCCAACAACACCAAGTATTGTTGTTTTTATTTTCTGTAATAATAATAATAATAATTATTATTATTATAATAATAATGATAATGATAATAATAATAATTATAGTTGTTGTTTCTTTCAATTTTGTCATTTTTTAATGTTTGTTATTGGTCCGTGCTTTGTTTCTCGCAGTGTTAATATCAACGGTGCCCTCCTACCATGCTATGGTTGTTTTTATATGTACATATATAGTTATGTATTATTATATTATATTATTTATTTATTTAATATAATAATTATTATTATCGCTACATCAAAACAAATGATAATCAACCAACACAAATTAAGAAATTTGAAGACGAGCTATCAGGGTGGGTTACGGAAGGTCTCGACTGCCAGAAACTGGCCGAACAGATCCTGCAACAAGCTCATCCCGAAGCCATTCCCACCATCAGAAACTGGAACAACACCGTCAAATCCAGACTCAATGACGTCACTTCCGCTTCGAACGTCAAGGGGAAAAGGTTAAGAGAGGCCGTGCAGAGGTCAAGGTCGAATGCCGTTGCTATGGATTCGTTGATGATGTGGCTGGAGGGTGTTGAGGCGGAGCTATCCGAGAAGATGGGGATCTATCTGCCAAGGAATATTCCCATTTTGGAGCAGTTGAAACAGGATCACACTGTCAGTTCTTTTTATGTTGTTTCTATTAATTTATAACCATTATCATTTTACGATCTTTGTCGTCATCATTTGCGTGTCATGCTCGTCATCTTTGCGTCAGATTTTCGAGTCAGACTTGATGTCTAGACAGCAGGAAGTAGAAAAGTTTTCAACAGCTGGTAGAAGTCACGTGCTGAGTGGTGCGGGAAGTAGTGGTGGCGGTGGTCATTTTGGTTGGAGACCCACCACTGCTACACCTAGTCCATCGTCTTTGAAGAGGTCGTCTACTTATTTCATTCATTTATTCACTTTCATTCATTCCCATTTATTCATTTGTTCCCTTGTATTCATTAGAATATATTCGTTTTTTTTTATTTCAATTAAACACCAGGAAGAAAACACCTACGAGTCAAATCCAGACGGCACCACCTCTTCTACCCCCTGCCACAATGGCCAAGGACCACAGGGCAGTTGCCCTCTTCAACAAGTGGAGGCGCGTGTGGTTGCAGTGCATGGAGAGGCACAAGAACATTCAAGATCTCATTGATACCCTTGAAGAAGTTTGTATTAACGATGATTATAATAATGATGGTGATGATTGTAGACAAGATGTTCATGATGATGATGATGGTAATGATTGTAGTGATAATGATGGCGACGACGACTACATAGACACTCACCCACATATAGGAAGACCGCCTAGACAACTTCGACTTTGACGTCTGGCGGATGCAGTACACGAACTGGATGCGACTGAACAAGAGCCGGACTATGGACTTCTTCTACAGGCAAGATAAGGATAGAGACGGCAGGGTCACTAGGAAGGAATTCATCGAAGGGGTGCTCAAATCGGGTCAGTCCATTTTGTTTTATTTTTTTTTAGGAGGAGGAGGTGTATCAAAGATTATATTTTTGAGTTGTGTTTGCTGTTAATCAGTCAACAGTTGAATCTACCACGTGAAAAATCAACTAATCAATCAACCAATTAACCACCAATCAACCAACTAATCAACCAACCAGGCTTTCGAACAACTCCTCTTGAGATGGAAAAAGTTGCGGACAAATTCGACTTCAACCAGGACGGTTATATCGATTACAGGGAGTTTGTGGCGGCCCTCAGATGGCCTGACAAGAGGTCAGGAATGAACGGGAGGTACGGGGGTAATTTGAGGGAGAAGATTAAAGATGAAGTGGACAAACAGGCCAAGAAGTGTCATTGCCCTAAGCAGTTCAATGTTGATAAGATTGGAAATGACCGATACAGGGTTAGCAATATTTTTCTATTATCATTGTATTGTTATATAATCATGTTAATAGTAATATATAATATACATAAGCTATACATAGATCTATATTTAGCATATTACGTAACCGCTGCCTATATTCTACTTATAGTTCGGGGAATCCCAGAAGTTACGTCTGGTCAGGATTCTGAGAAGCACCGTGATGGTCAGAGTAGGTGGGGGGTGGGTAGCCCTCGATGAGTTCTTGGTCAAAAATGACCCTTGTAGAGGTCAGTAAGTTGATTGAATGGCCGGTTGGCTGATTTATGTATACATTTAACATTTATACTTGTGTGTGTGTGTGTGCATGCATGCATGCGAGCATGTATCTTGTATCTATAACCAAAAATTATATTTTTTAAAGAATGAATAATTGTTTTACAGGGCTACAAATATATATATATATATATATATATATATATATATATATATATATATATATATATATATAGAAATGCATACATGCTTATCTACAAGCATACATATATACAAACAAACAAACATACATACATACATACAAACATGCATGCAAACAAACATACATACATACAAACATACGTACGTACAAACAGACAAACATTCATGATTACAAATTATTAATTCATTATAGGAATTGTGCATTCAGCTTCTCTTGATGATTGTTAGTCGGATATATATCTAGGAGGGAATGAATGAATGAATGAACAAATGAATGAAGAAATGAATAGACGAATGAATGAATGAATAGTTGAATTAATAAATAGATGAATGAATGAATGAATGAATGAATGAATGAATGAATGAATGAATGAATGAATGAATGAATGAACGACGGGACGAGTAAATGAGTGAGTGACCGAAACAATGAAGGATGGAAAGTATTGAAGAGAGAAAAATGAAAGCAACGAATGAATGAATGAAAGCCTTTTGTTGCACTTAACGTAATAAGAGGCCACAGATCATTAAGTTTTAATAATCTCTTAGTAAAAATATGTGGTTGGCGATTTTTTCGATTTTTGTTTCAAATATTTCATTAATGTTCTTTTTTATATTTTATTCGTCATAATAATTAATAATATTATTGTTGGTGTTGGCATAATTATTTTTATTGTTATAATAATAATTATAATTATTAATAATGACTCTATCATTGTCGTCACCTTTTTTTTCCTTCCATATAGTTTCACTCTGGTCTAACAAGCCGCATGAATTACATCGGCATCAGCTATTGTATTCATGTTTGTGTATGTTGTTGTTGATGATGTTGTTGTTGTTGTTGATGTTGGTGCTGCTGTTGTTGTTGATGATTTTGGTGTTGGTGCTGCTGTTGTTATTAATGATGTAGATGTTGTTGTTGATGTTTATGATGTTGTTGTTGTTGTTGATGATGTTGTTGTTGTTGTTGATGATGTTGTTGTTGTTGTTGATGTTGTTGTTGTTGTTGATGTTGGTGCTGTTGTTTTATATAGAAGATGTTGATGAAGATGATGATGTTGTTGTAAGAGGATGTTGTTGATGAGTAGGACGATGATGTTTCATTTTCGTTCATGTCTTTTTCAATCTTTTTTTTGTTAGCCCTGTTTTGATCCGTTCATCAGTCAATCTCATTTCTATTCATTTTCTATAGTCTTTGACGTTCCGTTGGAGTTAATTTATCAGTTTGCCAAGATAATATTATGCGTTTCATAATTTTCCTTCATAATTTGAAATTTTTATTTTTCCGCTGTTATTTATTCTTGGGTTTTTGTTTTCTTGAATACTAGACTAAATTCAACTTCATGTTAATACATCTGTGTCATAATTTTTTGAGTTTTTTCATATTCATAATTTAGTTTTTTGAGTTAGTTTTTTGGATTTTTTGTTTTTAAATTTAGCTATTTTTGTTTGTTTTCATAAACTCTATCGTTATTATTTAACATACAGAAACAACACAGACTCACACACAAACACACACACAAACACACACACTACATTACACGTCACACACGACACACGCACGTACACACGTACACACACACACGTACACACACACACACACACACAGCTAAAGGAAGGACCAACTCAGAACTTAGAGACCCATTCTTTGTTCCGATAGGTGCTAGCAGTGCATACGCCAACTTCAAATCCAAAACTCCGAGCAAAAGTCTCGGCGACGTGTCTCAGCAGCAACATCAACAGCAACAAATGTTATTTCAGCAGCAGCAACAACAGCAACAAATGTTGCAGCAGCAACAACATCAGCATCACGGATCTCCATGCTCTCATGTTAAAGTTAGTCTCATTTTTGCCATTATTACTTTATCACCCTCGTCACCATCATCATCATTATCATCGCCATTACAACAACATCATCATTGTCATCATCACCATGACATCATCGTCATCACCAGCCTACGAAAGTTCCACACCGCCTGATCACTCACTCGCCACATCCGGGCCATCAACATGGAAGCAAGAAGAAGGAAGTACCAGCAAGTTCCGGTATGATGACGATTATTATTATTATTATTATTATATATTGAGCGTTATTTCGAGAATTATAACATATATGTAAGATGTTATCTCGATGACCTTAAACGTAGTCATTCTGTCATCTGCTCTGTTAGTGCTATATAATCAACGTTGTGATCGATAAACTTTGACATCACCTGCACCATTTTCATCAATGCCAGCATCACCTTTTTCATCGCCATCATCTTCACCATCACTTTCACCATCATCTTCACCATCATTTTCATCATCTTCATCATCACAATCATCATCAACATCATCTTTACCATCAGCGAGCAGCATTTCAGACGACAGACGAGACAGCAGAGCCTCCAGCCAATCAGATATCTCCGTTCCTCTTGACCTTGATTCAAAGTCAAGGCCGATTAAACCTCGCGCTCCAGTTTCCAGCCAACCGCCGAAGAGTAAAATTCCTAAAAGTAAACAAAACGGCTCACATCGTACCGATGACGTCACCATTCCGTTGTCGTCATCTTCGTCTCATCTGCTCCTGAGGAGACCGAAGCATCCCAAGTACAGAGTCCAGGCGTCGCCAGCCATCAGGGCCGCTTTCTCCTGCAACAATAAAATTAAGAAGAAGAAAAATTATGACGACGATGATAACAACAGCAACAACAACAACAATAATAACGTAAATAATAATAATTATGACGACGACGATGATTTCGTACTGCACCAGCGAAACTTGCGTAGACAACAAAACAGCAACAACTTCTACAACAACAACAGCAGCAACAACAACAACGACGACGACGACGATGATGAGGACGATGACATGATGAGGATGAGGATGGCGAGACGGAAAATGAGCAATGACGTCATGAAGTCGTCGTCGTCCCTGGACTGGAGCAGGTCAAGTTCAAGGATAAGTCGTACCCTACCGCCCACGCCCTCCTTCTCAAACGATACCATCAGTGACCTGGCCGCCTCCTCGTCACGTGATCTCATCGCTTCCGGTGTTGATGACGATTACAATAATAGTAACAACAACAATAATAATATTAATAATGATAATGATGACGGCGACGTGGAGATGATTGTCAAGTCTTAATCAGCCGGTCGTTGTTTGTAGTAATGGGGTCATGACGCAATGTTAGCGCCATAAAAATAGGGGCTGTTTATCTCCTTTTGAAGTGACGTCATAATATTATAGTAGGGATGTGTGTGTGTGTAAGTTTTTAAGTGGCGTCAGGAAGATGTTACATTTGTTGTTGCTGCTTGCTTATTTATCTAAATTCCATTTCTACCTAAGAACTAAATTAGCACTGTTACTACTACCACTACTACTACTTCTACTACTACTACTACTACTACTACTACTACTACTACTACTACTGTTAATAATAATAATAATTGATATTTATTCATTTACCTATCCGCTTATCTATCCAAATATCTCGTTATTAGTGGAATAATTAACGCTTAGTCACATTTAATACCATATAATATGATGTGTGTATGTATGTTTGTATGTGCGTGTGTGTGTGTGCTTGAGTGTGTATGTGTGTGTGTGTGTTTAATTATTGGCTTAATCTATCTCTAGTTAGTTCCTACGCCTGGTCATTATATTCTAATGTTGTTAATTTTATTGGTTATAGTGACAATAATGACGCTGTTGTTGTTTTTGCTGTTGTTTTTGTTGTTGTCAATGTTTTTAATGTTTTATTTCACGATTTTAATGTCATTTTATTCACTCGTCTTATCTTTTATTTTAGATTTAATGAATTTTTGTTGCTATTTCAATTTTTTTGTTGTGAAAAATCGAACTTATTTGCCTCTAAATTTCGAATTTAGAATGCTATACAATGAAACATTAAATCTAGATGTGCGTATATGTATGAATGAGATGATACGAGAGAAAGAGAGGAGAGAGAGAGAGAGAGAAAGAGAAAGAGAGAGAGGAGAAAGAGAGTAAGAGTCAAATTATTTTTTGGAATTTTATTTTGATATATACAAATTTTATTTCATATTAAACTTGGTTCGTGGGTAGCAGAGATTCATTCTGTTGTTGTTTTTGTGTTTTTTTCAAACTTAATAAAAATTAATGAAATGAATTGTATTAATTATAAATAAATTAATTAATTGTTAATTTTCCTTTTAAGATAAATGAAATTTTTATATACATATATTGCAATTTTTATTTGTTTTTAAGTTTTTGAAATTTCAATTCTTTTACTAATTAATTAATTAATTAATTAATTTTTTATTCCCTGAATTCATCTATGTAATCTTTGAATTTTGAATTTTAAAAATTCCTTTAAATTGTTTTTAAACGAAAATTTTTTCTCTCCAGACTCTTAATTTTTTCTTTCCACATGCATTTGATCGTTTATTTATTATCATCTTATAATAATTTGGCGAGTCAATACAAACACACACACGCACACGCACAAACACAGATATATATATATATATATATATATATATATATATATATATATATATATATATATATATATATATATATATATATATTATACATTCTTGGTGATGCATAATTTGTTTAAAAATAAACAGCCATTTGCTAAACTTTTCATATATATATATATATATATATAATATATATAATTATATCTATACATATATAATTATATATATAGTATATATATATATATATATATGTATGTATCAATGTATTATGCTTTTGTCTTATTATTGTTCAAATAACAATTATATATATATATGTATATAATTGTTTGAGAACGATTTTTTTCTTGTACAAGTTAGCTTCCTTTCATCTAGATTTTCATTTGATTTTCGTATTTTTCTGGTCAAAAATAAAAGACGAATAAAAATGAATAAAAAAGCACAATAACAATAATAATAATAGCGTGTGTGTGTGTGTGTACGTTTCATTTTGTTTCAGTATATCTTTTTCTCGATGTTGATGACGTCATCATGACGTTGAATCAATCGTGCGTACGTCGTCGTCGTCGTTTCGACTACTAAGGATGATGTCATTATGAATTTTTGGGTTTTCGTATTGATAAACATAGATAGACACACACACACACAATTACATTATACAATACATACATATACATTATACATACATTATCCAATACATTATACATACATTATACATACACAAACACATACATTATACATACACATACATACACAAACATTTTACATACACATACATATACGTACACACATATTCACGCATACAGACGCAGACACTGGCATATATACTTTAGTACATCTAATTAACGACTGTTTGTATATATTGTGGATTCAGCCCAAATTGAAACTTCAAGACAACAATGCAAGAGATGGATGATCAATTAGGATAGAGCGGTCGAGATGATGGTGAGAACGACGACGATGGTGATGGTCAGGATGAGGAAAACTATGGCGATTGTAATGAGGAAGATGACCATGATGATGCTGTTTGAAAAAAGTAACAACGTGATGTATGAAAAAGTAAACGAATGAATGAATGAATACATTTAAAGTAAATGAATAAACGAATAAATGAACGAACAGATGAATGATTGAGGATTGAATGAATGAATGAACGAACGAACGCTTAAACCAATGGAAGAATGAATGGATAGAAGTGGTCGGAATTGAATTGGATAAGTTAGCAGGTGACTTGTGTAGGAACGTGCTCGCTCTCCAGATGATGAGATTATTAGATGTACCGGAAAGACGACGATGACGACAAAAACGAGTAGTAGTAACAGTAGCGGTAGTATCTGAAGTAGCATCAGTAGAAACAGAGCGGCAGCTGTAGTAGCAATAGTAGTGGTGGTAGCAGTAATGTAGTTGTAGCAGTAGTAGAAGCAATAGAAGTAGTAGTAGTGGCAGCATAGTAATAGTAGCGTGAATTAGGCAACAGTTTTCCCACTTGACTTCCATAACATCTGATCATTTCATTAATAAGCTTTTGTATGCGCGTATGTATGTTTGTATATATGAATGTACGTATGTACGCCCGTATGTATGTGTATATGTATATGTGTGTATGTATGTATATACGTACATACGTACGTATATATGTAGGTATGACTCTATGTATGTATATAAACTTTCTTGGAAACAGGTCCTACAACAGACACGCACACACTGTGTTAAAACATTCATTGGTTTTTGATGGTAATAAGATTAATGATGATGGTGACGAAGAAGACGATGACGACGACGCGTTATGATGACGACGACGATGATGGTGGTAGTGGTTGTGGTGGTAGTGATGTTGGTGGTAGCGGTAAAATGGCAAAATTCCCTTCGATTAATTTCATCATCTCCATTACCGCTTTCTTAATTTTCATTAATTTACCATCGTCGAATGGGATTTCGCTGATTAAAAATATTAATAATAATAATAATAATGCTATCAACAATATCATAGATGATGATAATAGTAGTAGCAGCGATGCTAGTTATGATACCACAGATAATACTGATAATGATACTGATATAGTTTTCGGCGACGACCAAACTTATCCAACGTTCTTTGAAAATGGACTCAATGACAGCAATAACGGAAGTGGTATATTTAGTGTCTTTGATCAAAATGACGCTTTCAACAACAATAACGACAACATTTCCAATGACGTCAACTTAACCGCTAATTACATTAACGTCCCCGACATCAATCCAGATTACGAAAACTACACTACGGAATTTTCTATCAACAACAACAACAACAACAATATAATTACTGAAATCTCAGAAAGCAACATCGAAAACTCAAAAAATTACATCAACCACAACAACAACCACAACAACTTTAACGGTGACACCAGTTACGTCATTAAAAACAACAAAAACACGAAAAATGGCCACACAAACAACACTATTGTTGTTGACAACTATCTCGACAAACACTTCTCAAATTTTTACAAACATCGCGTCAACTTGACACTTACGGTCAAGAGGGGTGCCACGGTCAATCT